TTAAAGATCAGTTGTGTCACTTCTGGCTTTGTTCTTAAACAAAGAGAACTGCCCCTCATCTGCCCGTAATTGGGCCTACTCTTGGAATGTGCTTGATGTTTCCCGCGCGGGGACACCGCCACTCCAACAGACAGGGAAAGGTTTCTGGGACATAGCAGACAAATGAGTGGAAGCTCGTCCACTGATCTCTACTTTTGACCTAATTTTTTTTTCTTTCTTTTACTTTTTTCATCCCGTCCCTCTTTCTTTTAAACTCTGTTTCACACTGTTAGCCACCAACTGCATCATAATGATGGATCCCCCCACTGAAATAAAGAAATCCCACGCTCACACTAAATGGAACGGTCTGCAGATTGCCCTCCCCGGATCTGCTCGGTTTCTCTGAGTTGCACCACCTCGCTAAGGTGGAGCAGTTGGATGCACTACAAGGCCAATCTTCAGCACATGTCACGAGCAGTTACTGAGGTGATGTTGACCATGCACAGATGGTTGAGAGAGGATTGGAGGGTGTTTACTGCATTGTTACTAAAGGGAAGCAATTTGGAGAGCTCAAATTCCACTTGCAAGGAAGGAAAAAATGTTGAAACAGTAGTTGGCATCCTACCAAAAGCCTGAGCCCCTAATTGTTCTCATTAATAGCAAATAATCTCAAAGTGCTTACTCTGTATTCTGGGAAACATTATGGGGTTATGTTTAAAATGTGTACATCTGGGAAGTCTCAGAGGATTAGTTTAGAAATTTGTCTGCAACAATCACATGAAGCTCAAGTGAAAAGTTTTAGCGCTCTTACGCTCAAACCGCAGATACGCCAGAGTCTTTGTGTCGGTGTTGTGCGCCTTTTGGTGTTTAAGCAACCTTGTCCCCAGAATCCAACCCTTTGGTTTTGGTCATGACTCATTTACTCCTGAATCCTTCACCTTTCACCCCCAGCTCCACTCTCCATGTCACTCGCTAGCTAACCTGGATAAGTAAATACATGATGTAATGTGTGGTTTTTGCCTCCACCCCCACCATCCTCCACACACACATACAGAGGTGATTAAACTGGAGCCCAGCAGTTTGAGGTGGAGCTGGCAGTAGATGAGCAAAATGGAAGGGAATTTAACTGGGCTGATTTGGGGTAAATATAATGGAAAAGGTGGGCTCATGCAGGTCACCAACAGTGCAGGACCTGGGCTCAGTTTGAGAGTATTTTCAGAATTTCTGAGAAAGTTGGCATCCTCTGATATCTGCCTAAAAAACTACAAAGTGCTTTGCTTGTCTTAAGAACTATTCATTTGATCCGTTTCATACCTGGCGGACATATTGCAGGAATCAAAGTAAGTAGTGCATTATAAAGAATGTCAGCTCATAATGACATCTGTGACACTGGGTGCTGCACTAGTTGCTGTCAATTTAAACAAATACGAGCAGTCTTGGCGAAATGCTTCTTGGAATTCAGCCCAAGTTCAACTAGAATGTTATTTAAGCAGTATCTTAAGTTTTTGCATTAAAAAAAATGGTAGGTAGTTCTGTTAAAGTTCAAACACATTAATTTTCTCTGCTGTGAATTGGAATTTCTTCTAAAAATGCATATTCATGCAGATTTGGGATCATGAGCTGGGAATGGGTGTGGTGATGGTCTTTTAGACTGCATATGCAAAGGGAGTTCACAGGTCAGGTAATTGCTTTCCACACCCTGAAACAAAAGAGATTTTCTCTGGCATGACTTCCTCCTCTATTAACAGCATGAACCATAATTAACATTTGAATAGGGTTGCAAATAGGGAGGTTAGGCTAATGCTGTGCTGCAACAATTACAGTCGTGGAATGAGTAGTTAGCCTCTTTTAGGTATTATTTTAAACAAAGATGTTTTTGTTTTTCATTACATTTATCATTCTTTTCATGGGTAAAGAACTTCGAGGTCTCTCTTAGTGCTAATATGATTTATTGGGAATAGATCTGTGCCAGAGATGCTGCATATTATACTACAGGCTGTTTTCTCTGGGTAGGGATTCTCCATCCAAGCAGCCTGTAGATGAAGTCAGGCCAGCGGCTCCACCTTTCCCCCAGTTGTCTGGGCTCAAGCTTTCAGGATTGGGCTTGCTGACTCCAGCACACGGCAGGCACATCTCTCTCCTCTTTAGGGTCCA